AAAAATTCTTTTTTATGAGTCCTTGACCTTAATTAACTTTCTAAGTTTTGAAAAATAGTACCTGAGGGCAAGAGATGATATTCAAAATATTTTAACTAGCAAGGCTTCCCAGTAACAACACTCTGACTGACAGCTGGAGGAGGGAAGGGTCTCAGAGGCCCCTCCCATGCCAGGCATTAACCCTGTGGTTTCTGGATCATGAAGAAGTGGACAGAGGCTAATGGCAGGGAACCACATGGAGAGGATCTCAGGACAGCAGCTGTTTCATAACTAAGCAGAACCAGTTCCCGCTGCTGGGACTCAGCCCTGAACCTTTAGGTACTTACCAGCTGGATTCCCCACCCTACTCTATGTATGCTCACTGCACCCTAGATTATTTTCTACTCTTCATTTCCTGAGAGCACCTTGCCTTTTCATGCCTCCATGATCTTTCCTGCACCTAAAATGCCTTTCTCCTCCTTGTTTGGCAAGTTTCTGTTCATGTTTGAAGGCCCAAGGGCCTGGATGGAGCTTGAAAACATCATGCTAAGTGAAAGAGGCCAGTTACACAGGACCATGTGTTACAGGATTCCATTGATTCTAAAATGTCCAGAATTGGCAAATCTGTAGAAGAAACAGAAAGTAGATCAGGGGTTACCCAGGGCTGAAAGGGTTGGGGAGAAAAAGGGAGTGATTGCCTATGGGGACAGAATTTCTTTGTGAGGTGACAAATGTACTAAAAACCATTGAGTTGTACCTCTTACATGGGTGGCCAGGTCCACACCTATAGTCCCAGCTACTCAGGAAGCTAAGGCAGGAGGATCACTTGAGTCTAGGAAATTGAGACCAACCTGGACAACATAGGGGGACCTGTTCCTACAAAATAAAAAGAATAAATGGATGCATCATATAATATCTCATAGAACTGAATTTTTTTTTTTTTTTTGAGACAGAGCCTCAAGCTGTCCCCCTGGGTAGAATGCCATGGCATTACAGCTCACAGCAACCTCCAACTCCTAGGCTCAAGCGAGTCTCCTGCCTCCGCCTCCCAAGTAGCTGGGACCACAGGCACCCGCCACAGCACCCGGCTATTTTTTGGTTGCAGCCGTCATTGTTGTTTGGCGGGTCCGGGCTGGGGGTTCGAACCTGCCACCTTAGGTGTACATGGCTAGTGCCTTAGCCGGTTGAGCTATAGGCGCCGAGCCAGAACTGATATTTAAAAAAAAACAAACATCTCAGCAACTCCTCTAACTGCATATGATTCAAAGGGAGGACTCAAATGTTTCCTGCTGGGGTGGAAGATGGATATAATGGGGGTGAGTGTGGAGGGGTGTGTGCAGGGGTGTGGCTGTTGTGAGGTACTGACTTGGGAAAGACAGAACGTGGAAATCAGGTTGAGTCCTGATAATACAGAGGGCTGCAGAATATTTCAGAAGGAGGGCTTCTGGTGAAAACGGAAACCACTTCAATGAAACCAGATTTCAGCAGAGAGCCTGAGGTTAGTTTGAGAAGAGTGAAGTTATACTTTGAAACTGGTGACTGAATGTGGTCTCCTTCCCTGGGCTACAGAATCTTACTATGTCACCCTTGGTAGAGTGCTATGGTGTCACAGCTCATAGCAACCTCCAACTCTTGGGCTCAAGTGATTCTCTTGCCTCAGCTTCCCAAGTAGCTGGGACTACAGGTGCCCACCACAATGCCCAGCTATTTTTTCTTTGCAGTTGTCATTGTTGTTTTAGTAGGTCCGGCTGGGCTCGAACCCTCCAGCTTCAGTGTATGTGGCTGACACCCTACTCACGGAGCTGTGGATGCTGAGCCTGGCCTGGGAATTGTTTAAGAGGAAAGCATTGTTATGTAGAAGAGGGCTGATATACTGCCAATTCCGGACACTTCACGTCAACACAACACTGACATACTTTGCAAGAAGTCTAGCATTCCTGAAATAGGATGCTTGAAAGGAGGACAGCTCTCTACTCCCCCATTTGGGCCCTACCAAGGCAATATGTCGCAGTGCTGGGCGTGTGGGCTCAGGAGCCAGGTTTGAATCCTGGATCTTTGCATCTGCAGCTGCATTGCGTTGTGCAAGTCACTGAGTCTCTCTATGCCTCCATTTTCTCTACTGTTAATTGGGCTAATTGATAGTTCCTTCCTCACAGGGTTGTTGTGAAGATTAACTTAGACAACATGTGAAGAATTCAGCACAGTGCTCAGTCATGTAAACACTAGAAGAAGGTAATCTCTGAGGTGACGATTTGGAGCCATGAAACTGGTTGCTGGAGAAATGCCTGGGGTATGCCAGTCCTGAGCAAGATCTAAGATAGTGGGGAAGAGGCAACAGCTGGCGGGGGTCGGGTGGTGGCTGGGAAATGGCCTGAAGATTATTGGCAGCCTCATTGCTCAACCCTGTCAGTGGGGCTCATACTTCCTGTTTTCAGTGTCTGGGAGCCCTGATGCTGGAACTGCTCAAGTTTGAACAAGATCTTTCTTGGCTCCTGAGGGGGAATACACAGCAACTCAGGCTGGGCTGGGCCCCTTAGCCTCAAATCATGCCCTTTCTTTCCTAGCAAGTTTCTATTCCCATAAAACAACGCAATTCGGAGGTGAGAGAGGGAAGGGAGTTCCCATTCAATGCTATGAGAATTACCTGTGTAATAGTAATTCTACTATTCCATTTAGGTTTTTATTAGATGCCAGGATCATGCTAAGAGACGTATGAATTCATGAATCTTTATAATAATCCTAGGAGGTAGATATTAATATCTCTTTTTTACAGGTGAAGAAACTCAGGCACAGAGAAACTAACAGTCCTTCCCAAATCACACAGCTAGTGTCAGAGCCAGGGTTATAGTCCAAGCCACCTAACTCCAAAATCACTCTCTGAACCACTGCACCCACTGTGTAAGACAACGTGTAAGATTACAGCCGAATATGTTGGGCTCTTGCCCTCCTTACTAGACTGGGAGCCACAGTCTAGTAAGTCTGGGAGACTTTATCCCCTACTTAGTAAAAGGGCTATTCATGCTGAGAACTCACACTGACCATAACAGGAATTTGAGGCCTTTATATATTTTGACCAGCTGTTCCCAAAGGTTCTTAATCAGTGGTGCATATTGGAAACGCCTGGGGAGCTTTTCTAAACCCATAAGCCCTTGACACTAGCCCTGACCTGAATTGAAATTTCTACAGGTGGAGCATAGGTATGTATATATTTTTAAAAGGTTCTCAGGTGACTTGGTTAGGAAACACTGCCAAAAACGATTAACACAACTTAGAAATTCTAGTATCTTGGCATCCAGCTGTATCTCCCAGCCTATCTGTACACCCCAGTTCTTCACAGCCTGATGTTTTATTCAAAGTATATGGTCACCCCCATTGAGACATCATCCAGCTTTAGGTTGTGAGCCCCTTAATCCTAGGGATAGCAATGGCTGGTGATGAGCGCCATTAACACACTGAGAAAGTGCAGCACCAGCCCCATACATGGATGACGGGAAATTATGTTTTCTTTTGCTGAAAGTCACAGACTCAAGCTCGAATTTCGGATCAGCAATTTTCACTCATACAAGTATTATTTATTTATTTATTCTAGAGACAAAATCTCACTCTGCCCTGAGTAGAGTGCCCTGGTGTCATAGCTCACAGCAACCTCAAACTCTTGGGCTCAAGCAATCCTCTTGCCTCAGCTTCCCAAGTAGCTGGGACTATAGGTGCCTGCCATAATACCCGGCTAATTTTTCTTTCCTTTTCTTTCTTTTGTTTTTTAGACAGAGTCTCACTTTGTTGCCCCCGGTAGAGTGCTGTGTCATCATAGCTCATGGCAACCTTTAACTCTTGGGCTCAAGTGTTTCTCTTGCCTCAGCTTTCCAAAGGCTTTTTTTTTTTTTTT